CTCAGAATTCCATGAAAAGTTCTTTTTTTCTCAAGTGAATGCATTAGTGTACTGTTCTCGTTTCAATGTATGGATATTGAACTTAACAGCCAGCTAAACTCTCCTCAGCATCATTCCTACAAGGAACAGGCAGGTGTTGTATTTGGCAGGGATTTGAATGGTAAGAAGTTTGAAACTGAAACNTTATGTTAAATGTTTGTTGTTTGTGTTTCATGTATTGTGTCTGGATACTTGTCTGTTGATGTTGGACATGGAGCTGCTGTGACGCAAGTCAAATTTCAGACTTGATCTGACAAATAAAGTATTATCGTTATTATCGTTTTTCGTTAGGTGGTTTCCAACCCAAAGATAACAAATATGTAACTTATTCATACACAGGGGAAACACTTTGCACTCATTGGCATTTTATTGTATTTGTTTAACCTAAAGAGGGTTTATTTACCGAAGCATAATGCATACACGAGGAATAAACGTTTTCTGTTTTTCTTAATTAACAAGATTATTATCTCAGAATTCCATGAAAAGTNTGAATATTACTGTAAACTAACCTGTGTAAAAGTTTCTCGAATACATTTATTTTTTTGGCGGAAGAAGCATGTATCATTTTTTACCCTGCCCTTCAAAGAATCGGAATTGAGAACCGTTAAGAACCGGAGTCGAAAAGTAGAATCGGAATCGGAATCAGAATCGTGGAAATTCAAACGATACCCAACCCTAGATATGAGGTATATCTCAGAATTCCATGAAAAGTTCTTTTTTTCTCAAGTGAATGCATTAGTGTACTGTTCTCGTTTCAATGTATGGATATTGAACTTAACAGCCAGCTAAACTCTCCTCAGCATCATTCCTACAAGGAACAGGCAGGTGTTGTATTTGGCAGGGATTTGAATGGTAAGAAGTTTGAAACTGAAACAAAATACATTTCTCCATAAGTACACATAAAACAATGATATGTTCTTAACATTTACAGAATAAATGTACTTTTTATAAGAACAGGTTATTGCAGGTAAATATGTAAATAAAGTTCTTACAACAATAATAATTATCCTTACTACAAAATTATATTACCACAAATAATATCAAACACTTGTAGCTAAGATAATAATTAGTAACTTGACTTACTGATAATGCCACGTTTAGGGCTTAGAACGAAGGATGGATGGGGATTCTGCAGCGAGTCCTCCCATTACATGCTTATTGCATTAGTGTCCATGNAGCTCGTGAACTTCGTAAAACTTTTACAAGTTACTGCTACACAATTTAAAATAAATGCTTTTATATATTTCTATTCGATGTGACTCTGGCGTTTCTGTTATTATTAACACTGCTGCTTTAGTTGTCTGACTAATCCTCTGTTATTCCGTGGGTTGGGGGAGCCGGGGGCTCGGATCCTTGTCACCTTTTTCATACAGATGAGTTTGCATCCCAAAGCCTCAGTCACCTTAATTCATGTAATAAAAACATCTCAGGTCAGTAGCACTCAAAGCTAAATGTGCAATACCATGTTCAGCTATGTTACTATTTATAATGTTATTGTTGTTACATCAGAAGATGTACATATTGGAATGATTTCTTAACTTACAGTAGGCTATTTTTTACAATGTGTGTTGGAAGGATTTATTAAATTACTATGAATAATTTCATTGTTGAAGGCTTTTAGAGAAGGATGAACTATAAGCCTGAATTACATAACATTTTATACCTAAAAACATAAAAGCCACAATAAATAAATCACAATTATTGTAGTTATTTTTACCTCCCGTATTGCTTTCAACCCACCAGCTTTTATGGTGTTGTTACGTCACTAACTGTAAACTTGTCACATACAGTCTATGGTCACTCAGAGTAACCTACAGTTAATTTAGCTAGTGGAGAAGAAAGATCAGGGGGGGAGGGGGGAGAGAGCTGCCGTTTCATTCACACTGTTTAAAAAACGGTAACAACGGACTATTTTTCTTAGCGGATGCATGTCAATTTAAATCAATACAACTATGTTTTAAATCAATAAAAACATTTTCTAAATCCATAAAAGCATTTAAATTAATATTGGGAGTCATGTCGTTACTTTGTTGAGAATGTGGCCTTGTAATAAGCAAATAATTTGGAGCGACTTGTTCCTTATGGGGAAAATAACACCCGTCATCCAGATCCGGATCCCTCCGCTACGCTTTGGGATCCTGATCTGCCGACGAGGCTCCATTAAAATATAAATGTTTTTAGTGAATTACTGAGTTTAGGCACGTTAATAACATTTGAATGAAGTTGAATACAGTATATTCATATGTGTCAGTGATTTCATGTCAATTCGGCGAACATAAACATAAATGATCGTGGTGAAGATGATGATTAAATTAGGATTAAAAATCGAGAGCCGGGCATTTCCTCCCGTTCGTTTTTTCCGACAAACAACATTATTTTGTTAAATAACAACATGGTGATGTTTTGTAAATGATTACATGTCTCTTATTTAGCACAGAGTATGATATCCGTGACATATGGATCTTAACAAAGTTCCGCTGTACATCCAGCGTACTGTATCTGACTTTATTTCACATGAGCTCCAGTGTGGAACCCCACTGCACCCCCTGGTGGATCAATGATCCATTGCAGCTGGCTTCATTATAATTACATTTATCTATCACGGGGGTGGTCTCAAGTCAAGCTGGAGGTTTTCCCTTGAGCGAGGGCAGATCACGTACCAATCACGGCCCTCGCGTTTCAAACTGTCTGAAATGAATCGCTACATCTGTAGTTGTGCATCTTTCACTTTTGTTCATCCAAAACTAAACTAGTACTTGGTTTGGTTAAAGTTTGCCAAAAAAGTTTAAATATGGAACATTTGTCATGGTCAGACTATTGGCTAAAAATAAACTTTACCTGGGAGGCTGAGTATGGTGATGCTTCTGTATTTGGCACACTCTCTGGTCCCCCTATTTGAACAGGGGAACCACCACTCCGATCTGCCACCCTTTTGGTACTGCCCCCAAATTCAACGCAATGTTGATGAGATGTGTCAAACATGACAGTTCCCTAAACACCCAGAGCATTCAGCATTTCTGGACGTCTCACCAATCCCGGGGGGTTTGCCACTGTGGAGTTGTTAAACAACCTCATTGACCTCCTCCAGGGAGCTTGATGTTGATCCTCTGTCAACCCCCAGCTCTGCCTCTACCTTAGAGTTCCCCAAAGTGTTTCATCCACCGCCCATCACCCCATCAGTTGAGGTCAACAGTGTTCAAGCCTCTCTTCACCGGAGTGTCCAAGACATATGGCCTCAGGTCCGATGATACAATAACTAAATTGATTCTCAACCTTCTGCCTTAGGTGCCCTCGTACCATGTCCACAGTTTGGCAAGCACAGAAGTCGAATAACAAGTCACCACTCAGGTCAGATCAGGGAGGCCATTCCTCCTGATAATGCTCCCTCAATTGTTTTCATTATTGCCCATATGTGCATTGAAGTCTCCTAGCAAGACTAAGGAATCCCCTTCACAAGCCCCGTACAGGACTCTGTTCAGAGTCTCCAAGAAGGCATACAACTCAGAATACTAGCCCCCCCCCCCAACTCCATAACCCGCAGACAAAGAGAGGCAACCCTCTTATCCACTGGGGTAACTCCAACTTAGCCCGCTCTTTGCCAGGGACTTTTGAGTATCCCAACACCTGCAGGCGCATCACATCTTGGTCAACTCCGGAGAACAATAAAGTCCAACCCCTATCCAGGTGGAAGGTTCCAGAGTCGAGGCTGTGCATGGTTGTGAGCCCCACCAGAACAAACTGGTAACACTCTACTTCACGCACAAGCTCTGGCTCCTTCCCCCCCAGAGAGGTGGAGTTCCATGTCCCCAAAGCCAGCCTCTGCTGCCAGAGTCTGGTCCGTTGAGACCCTCTTCCTTCACTGACACCCTTCTGGCAGCGCAAACCCAACCCCATCAGTTTGCCCCTAGGTAGTGAGCCTATAGGACAGAGGAGTGGAAGAAGTGTCCCCATAGCTTCTTTGGACTGTGCCCTGCCGGGCTCTGTGGACAGACAGGTCACCTGGTGCTTGCTGACGGCTCCTCCTTTTGATCCCGTCTCCAGAAGGGGACACCGGGCCTGATAACTTCCCTTCTTCAATCTTTCATGGGGTATTTTCTTAAACCATTCTTAGTCCGACAGATCATTTATTATGTTAATATATAATAGTTACTAACAGCTTTAGCTTAATTGTAACTCGAGCGCTCTTGTGCCTCCGCAGACTGTCTGTTTTCATTTCGTAGTTACGTTTTTGCTTACCAAATATGACTAAAACTACCCAAGCAAAAGATGACAAACTTTAAAGTCAAAGTTGTAATTTGATACAATACGCATGTATCACATAAATACAGTGATTGCGGGTGTGTTTGCATTGTACATGAAAGGGACGGGACATTTACTACACAGTCTGCATACTGGGCCCTCGTTTCAGACAAACAGTGAAAAGAGGTGCTGCAGCAAAGGCAGTATGAGAAAAATAAAGACCTTTATTTTAGGGAAAACAATACAAAAATGAACCGGACAATTAGCATAATGTCCTATTTAAAAGGTATGTACATGCATGTGTAAAGTACCCCACACAACTGAAAATTGGTCCGTGTACTGTTCTCGTTTTCAACGTGTGGATATTGAAACTTAACAGCCAGCTAAACTCCCCTCAGAATCATTCCTCCAAGTAACAGGCAGGTGTTGTATTTGGCAGGGATTTTAATGGTAAGAAGTGTGAAACTGAAACAAAATACATTTCTCCATAAGTACACATAAAACAATGATATGTTCTTAATATTTACAGAATAAATGTACTTTTTACAAGAACAGGTTATTGCAGGTAAATATGCAATGCAAGATTACACAGCATTATGTAACACACTATAACACAGCAACAAGTTCTTACAAAAATAACAATTATCCTTACTACAAAAATATATTACCACAAACAATATCAAACACTTGTAGCTAAGATAATAATTAGTAACTTGACTTACTGATAATGACACGTTTAGGGCTTAGAACGAAGGATGGATGGGGATTCTGGAGCGAGTGCTCCCATTACATGCTTATTGCATTAGTGTCCATGTGTAAAAATACTTCCTGGAACTTAAGGAAGTGGTCATAGCCACAAAGGAAGTGCCATCTCTTTCAAAGTACATTTCAAAATAAAAGCTGGCTTCTAACTGCTAATACATTCCTATTTGTGTTCCATGACACTCCCCGTCTGGCGTCATTAATGATGCCACATTTAGCTACTTCCTCTCTTCTCTTTCCTGTTACTCCCCAGAAGCCAGGAGAAGCACAAGGTCCGAGATAGGCCTTGTGTATGTCTTTTTAGGTTGGTGAGAAGACACTTTTACTTCCACTTTCCTTACTACTCCATCTGAGCTCGGAAGGGTTTTTGTTATCCGTCCCATGGGCCATTCACTCCGACGTGCCTGCTTGTCTTTCAACATCACTATGTTCCCTTCTTTTAGATTTGGTTTCTTGCAGTGCCATTTCTGCCTCGTCTGAAGTGTACTTAAATACTCTTTCCGCCATCTCGTCCAGAAAATGTCTGCCAAGACTTGAACTCGCTTCCACTGATGTCTGAACAAGTTAGTTTCAGAGAACTTCCCTGAAGGAATCGCAGGTATGCCAATCTTTTGTGTTAAAAGCATTGACGGGGTTAAGATCAGTGGAGCTTCAGGGTCTGAGGACACCGGTATCAGTGGCCTGGAGTTGATAATGGCTGTTACTTCGGCCATTAATGTACATAAGACCTCATGAGAGAGCTTGTGGTTTCCCCAGGTACGTTAGGTAGAAGCAACAACTCTTTTGATGCACCGATGAAGTTTGTGCCACAATCTGACCGTAGCTGCTTTGACGGCCCTCTAATGGAGAAAATCTACGTTGTGCGTTTATCATGCTTGAAGCAGTCATTGACTCAATTATCTCGATGTGGATAGCTCTTGTGGACATACAAGTGAACAATACTGCCCATCTCTTGTTCTCCGGGAGACAACTTCCCAAGGTCCAAAGACATCCAACCCCACGAAAGAGAATGGTGGTTCTTGTTGTAGGCGCTCTGCAGGCAAGTCCGACATCTTTTGTTGTTCCAGTCTCCCACGTAGCTTCCTGCAGATTACACATTTATTGATCAAGCTGTTAACTCCTATCACCTCTTAATGAGGTTTCTTTCCGTTACAAAGCAGACAACACGGAGAAGAGTAGTCGGGTTCTTGACGTTTTATCACCCAATTTCTACACCGTCTCACCTTTCACTCTCTTAAATTGTCTGAATAAGGTTTCGGTAAGTCCAGATATTTCTCTACCGCCCCTCGCTATTGAAAGGAAGTGCCGTGAATAGATTGGTCGCGTGTGTTACACCGTGTGTTCAGACACCACCGTCAAAGCACTTCAGTACAAGATTCTATACAACCATTTACAAATGGGTACACCTCAGCAGCACTTCTTTCGTTCTCCTTACTACGTAAATACTACTGGTTTCATTACAAGTAATCGTCCGCTGCTTAAAAACTACACAAATTGGCAAGCCGCTTACCGGTCGTGTATAAGAATTCTTCGACGCGTCCCCAAACAACTACATAAGGCCATTTCTCAGTTCCCAAGAACACTCAGGAGCGCCTTTCTGTTCACGGGAGAGGGTGAGAATATCTCACGTAGTCCGACGGCTTGTATCCTCTTCTTTACAGATGAGGACTTCGGCGTATAGTGGTTCGCGTGTACACCGTATCGATTACTTGAATGGACCTGAACTACTTGTTACGTTGCTATAGGACAATGAGACCCGTCCCTGTAAGATGCTCAGGTTTTTCAGGCTTTGTCGAAGTACCAGGAAACTACGACGCATACGGTTTTTGACCTAGACCTACCCAGGTAACATCCACTTACACACGGAACCACCACTGTACTTCTTTTGACACACGAGGAAACGGAATCACTCTCTCTGCAGAGGCCTTATTGCATGTCCGTCGAGTGGTGCAGGAGTACAGAGACCGCTGCATGAACCTTTTCTTTGGGTGATACTCTCGTGATATTGCTTAGTACGTTTAGGACCTATTGTTCCGTGCTGACTTACCTGTGGATGGTGAACCTTCGTCTCGTTCCTTACAACCATAGAGGGTGAAACCACACATGGTAAGAGTCTTTGACTTGTCTAGCCCATCAAAACTGAGGTCAAACTCCCTCACAGAGAATTGCTACACTGACGGAGAGAACCCGGACTAGAGTATTACCCGACAACCCCCAGGAGGACTCCAAGTCTTTTCTGCCAGCGAGTGGTCGACTATATGTCGTCGTACAAAATAACTAAGTAACATGTCCTCCTGTTTCTCTAAAGAACGCAAGAACACATGCACTGTTGTGAGCTATTACTTCACCTACCCATAGCCTACTCCCCAAGGTACCATAAACCTTTGCGGGAAGGGGGTCGTCAACGATGAATACCCGACTCTTTCCGTCGTTTCTCCCTCTCTTTCTAGCCTCTCTGCAAGACGTAAAGCATCGTTTCTCTGAAGATTACATCTACTACGGACTCCCAGAAAGGGGTGTTTTCTTCTGGTAACTGTATGACTTTCTGCAGTTACGCACAACCTGTTTAGGTTATATTTCGAAGGTCTATCGTAGATTATAACGCCTACAGTACTGACGGAAGGGGCCTCCTAGCCTCGGTTTCTGTACGTTCGTGGATCTAGAAGCAACTACTGGGGTCTAAGTCGCGTCGGAACCTCACTCGACCTTATGACTTCAGCCTTGTTAATTGTATATCAAGGTTTACGTCTTCGAGAATGTCGGACCACATGAAAGGTGTTATTTGTCAAACAAACTGGGGAACCCTGAAGAACGGAGCCATTGTATGCCCCTAATAGATTCTCTCGATTAGACTTGGTGCTACCCTATGTGGAGAGGGTACTTCATTCATGTGCGTACTCCTCTACGTCACTAGCGATGTCCCGTCGACTTTACAACCACACGGAGCTTGAATTACGAAGTAAGGAGAAAGTTTCCGGTTTGTGTGGCTGAAACGCATAAATTCTGCGGAGGACGTTTCGTTGAACGCGTCAGCGAAATGAACTCTCACTGTCCTACTTCTTCCCAGTGTAACACTCTACCAAAACAGACGTCGTTCCGTTGAACGTTGAAGTAGTCTTTGTTGATAATTTGGCTTGATTGAGATCACGTCGATTGGTCCGTCATTCCACGTCTCATATATCTTCTTTATCCCTCTTCGACCGTTCTCACTGAAGATATGACTATCTTTGCAAGCAGAATCCCTATATAGACGTTACGAGGCTTCCCAAATACACATGACACGTGTTGTCCCACGTTGCATATTCTGTCATGACGTTCAGTCACTTATACGTGAACGTGACTGTTGTTAGGACGTCTAGTACGCCTTGTGCAGACAAAGACGCAGTTGACGTTCACAGTGACCGCAGACCTGGTAGCAAAGAGTACCTCGACTTCCTTGAGGATGTAAGACTGTCGTTAGGAGTCAAGGCTTCACCCAGGGCTAGGTCTAAGTCGTACATCTCTAGGCAGTATATTGCCGATAACGTGTTTCAGGAGTCATTCCTCGAACCGGTTTTTGCAACTGCCAAGAGAGAACCTCAAGAGATTGCTTCTCGTGTCGAGCAGAGACAGGTGTAAGCGTGTTCCAAAAGTCGTTTGTTACTAGTTGTGGTCGACATCCCCTACCGTATAGACGGGTTGTCCAGGGATAACGACTCAGTTTTTTCGTCTCGTATATTAGTAATTTGCACAGTCTTAATCTCACATAAGACTCCTCTAATCTACATAAGCGCCTTCCCTGCGAGAAGGAAGTTTGCAGGGGATGTCTTCGAAGTAGGTTACTAACTACTCCTCCCCGCTAGATGCTCATCCTCCAGCGTTATTAGGTAAGATTAAATCCTATCTACTGTAGGTAGAGAGGAATAGGGTCCTTAGTAGTATGAACCGATCCGAACGAGTAGTCGGAGTAGTCCTTTTCCACTCTGTAGTTCCTCCGTAAAGTGTCTTCCTCGATAGGCAAGCACCCAAATACCTATCCCTCGT